ATATATTCTCTAACTTTCACCTAGTACATATGCACATATATACGCACATATATGTACATATACAGTATATTCTCTAACTTTCACCTAGTGCATTTGCACATACTGTATATACATACATATATATGTACATATATATTCTCTAACTTTCACCTAGTACATATGCACATATATACGCACATATATGTACATATACAGTATATTCTCTAACTTTCACCTAGTGCATTTGCACATACTGTATATACATACATATATATGTACATATATATTCTCTAACTTTCACCTAGTACATATGCACATATATACGCACATATATGTACATATACAGTATATTCTCTAACTTTCACCTAGTGCATTTGCACATACTGTATATACATACATATATATGTACATATATATTCTCTAACTTTCACCTAGTACATATGCACATATATACGCACATATATGTACATATACAGTATATTCTCTAACTTTCACCTAGTGCATTTGCACATACTGTATATACATACATATATATGTACATATATATTCTCTAACTTTCACCTAGTACATATGCACATATATACGCACATATATGTACATATACAGTATATTCTCTAACTTTCACCTAGTGCATTTGCACATACTGTATATACATACATATATATGTACATATATATTCTCTAACTTTCACCTAGTACATATGCACATATATACGCACATATATGTACATATACAGTATATTCTCTAACTTTCACCTAGTGCATTTGCACATACTGTATATACATACATATATATGTACATATATATTCTCTAACTTTCACCTAGTACATATGCACATATATACGCACATATATGTACATATACAGTATATTCTCTAACTTTCACCTAGTGCATTTGCACATACTGTATATACATACATATATATGTACATATATATTCTCTAACTTTCACCTAGTACATATGCACATATATACGCACATATATGTACATATACAGTATATTCTCTAACTTTCACCTAGTGCATTTGCACATACTGTATATACATACATATATATGTACATAGGGTTTACTGGTATTGCTGTACTTGTGGGGACTATAGTTTAGACTGTACCGTTGCTGCCGGGTCACTTTACAGGTCGTCAGTGAGTGAGAGGGTGTTCTGGTGTAAAAACAAAAAACTAAAAATAAATCTCTAAGAGTAAAATGTAATTATCTTTAACATATACAGTAGTTGTGGGCCGGATTTGGTGGATTCATGGGCTGGAAGTGGCCCCGGAGCCAGGAGTTTGAACTTCAATGTCAATTCATTGAAATTCATAAAAAATACTTTTTTTTTTAAAACGCAGCAGTGGTTCAGAATCACAAACTGTTTTTATGAACATCAGGTGGAAGTTAGAGAGTGGCTGACAGACAGGATCTGATCAAATCTCCCTTCGACACATTATCAAATCCCTGATCTTCCTCTCAGAATGTTCCTCTTAACTGGTCGCACCAGCCCTCCCAGCCAATCTGCTGCCTCTGTATCTCAAGGTCAGAAGCTGCGGCGTCAGAACCTCAGACTTACAGATCTGTTCTGGAGGATTTTCAACATCACAATAACCTTGAATTACAGTCCTGGAACTGTGATGAGAAGCTGTGATGAGGCCGATGTGTCGGAGGGAAACGACACAGATACGTGCACCTCGTACAGACTGAACTTCCTGTTGCTTTACGTAGTGCTTTTTGCACCAAAACTGTGAACACAGTCACGAGTTCTCACTTCATCAGTCACTTCATGACAGGTGAAACTTTAACATTACAGATCTAATCTAGACTTTGGTAGAGGTTCCCAAAGTAGGGGGCAGGTCCTTGCTGGGGGCACGGAAAGACAAATTATTACAGTTTCTTTTTTTTAATGTTTTTATATACATTTCAGACATGTTTTTTGAAATTTTTTTATATATACATTTCAGACATGTTTTTTTGTTGCAGTTGTATGGATATATATGTATATATACATATATGCTAAATATAATGTAATATATATATACATATATACTGTATGTGTATATAAATCTGTATGAATATATGTATACATGTGTTTATGTATATATTATATATATAGTGTATGCACACACACACACATACATGTATATATGTATATATAAATATATCTATACATATATGTACATATATAGTACACACTCCCACACTGTTCCTCCGTCTAAAGCTCTCCTCCTGCTTTGCTCTTGTCATGCCCGCAGCACCAGTCAATAGCCCATCAGCAGCCTTTTGTGGAGAGCTCCTCATTGGTCGATTTCTCATGTATGGATCAGCATTCATATTCACGGTGAAATCATCGCACGAGATGAACTCATGCATGTTTAACATGAGTGAGAAAATGATTATCCTCCAAGAATCGACGGTGGGTTTTTTTTTTGTCCGACCCTGAGTGTGGAGCTGAGCAGAACGTCCTCTTTGTCACTTTCTGCCGCCCCGTCCCAGAAATGACAGTGTGTCCACGTGAGCCAATCACGCTGCCTCGGCGTTGCCCGTGATCCACGGTTAGCCGTTGTGCGCGGCCGCCCTGGGTGGACCTTAAGTGCATCCTGTCCAGAGAGAGATTGCGGCAGGAAAAGACTGATCAGCTGAGCCGAGTGAAGGTCGGACAGAATTATCATCAGGTCACGTCTGAAACAGGGGCTTGTTGTGTGGTGACTGACGAGTTTGGACTCAGGGACACATCAGAATTAGAGGTTAATGACAGACAGAGCCTTGGTGGGCTGCACTTATCACACTGATACAGATACAGCCGTGGTGTGCTTCAGTGTGTGTGTGTGAGGGTTGACTGGTATTGCTGTACCTGTGGGGACAATAGTTTAGACTGTGCCGTTGCTGCCGGGTCAGTGAGTGAGAGGGTGTTCTGGTGTGAGTTAGGATTAGAATTAGGCTCAGATTAGAGTTAGGATTAGGAATATTATTAGGATTACATTTGTAATGGATAAGGTTAGGATTATTGGTTACCAGCAGCACTCTGACTAAGAAAATAGGCATTGAACTGAGCAAATATTGAATTTTTTTGTTGTTGTTGATGTTGTTGTTTTTGTGGTTGTCCTGTAATGCAGTGTTTCCCAAACTTTTTTTCTGGGGACCCATATTTTAAAAGACACAAATCTTCGCGACCCGAGTCAATCGACTCATGGGAAACATGAGACGAGAAGACCCCAAAAAAAATCTCTTGTGACCCTCAGGTGGAGACCAAAGCATGAAAGAAAAGGCGCTGGTGTTTGTGTAGTCGACGCCTCCTCGTCCTGGTGCGAGTGCATTTATCACAGGAGACACCGGTGTCCGTGCCACTTCCGGGCAAATCCCGTCCAAATTGCTCGGCTTTTGTATCTCGTTGAATCGATGTGATCTGGCAGCAGTGAGAATCTCAGCAGACAGTCAACATATACACCTCCGTGTGTTGATGGAGAGTTCAAAAGTTGCTCATTTCTAAAACCCTAAGTGTGGACTTTTAATGGAAATCTCTGCTCTGGTTGTGGTTCATTAACGGTTTAGTGAATTTCGGTACAAACAAAAAAAAAAAAGTCTTTCCTTCCACCGGAGAGAGATAAGCAGCCGTGGTAATATATTTTTAAATGCACCAGGCCCGAGCTGCGTTCAGTTTGTTCACAAAGAATCCAGGGAGCTGCAGCGCTTTATGTGTTTTAATGGGAAATAAAATTAAAAATGGCCGGAAGTATTTATCTTACACATACTTGGAAAAAAACCCAGAGCCATATTTTGTGCATAAACACGGCTGCACTTTTAAAATAAGGTAACCTTTTTTTTTTTTTTTCATCTTTAACCCTTTTATTTATTTATTTATTTCAAATGTTTTTATGGCCCTGAAACTGTGCTGAGAATATATATTGGATTTAATTTAGATTCCCGTGCAGTCTTTAAAATTAAACGGCCCGGTGCAGAGTGTAGTGTAAGCACATCCACGCCGGAACACGCAGCTGTGCTGTTTTTGTTTTGATCAGTGTTCAGTATTTAGAGCAACAAAAACCATGATCGGAATGCTTTGAAATTAAAGCTGTGAAATTAATATTCTTTTTGAAAATAAGATGTCTTTTTAATCACTGGGGGTGTCATCTTTTCTTACACACACTTGATTTAAAACGAACGATTGGGGGGAAAAAAAAGTCTCATTAGATTCACTTAAATATGTTTGTCCTTTACATTTAATTTAACATGTTCTGACTAATTTCCTGACACTTTGACAATCTTAAGTCATAGTTTTGGGAAATAATTAATTAAAAGCTCCTCGACCAAAACAAACAGATGGTCTCATTAAATGTTAAGAGAAAATAAGCAGCGTCCGTTTCCATATTTGTTTCTCAGTAATCCGTCCAAGTTATTTAATATTCGGAGAATTAAAAAATTCAGATGGTTTGGTGTTCAACAAGCTGCTAACGTCGATTTTGTACTTATATCAATAGTCTCCAAAAAGCCTCACCACCGTATGTTGTTGGATCATAATGATCCAAGAACTCAAGAACAGATTCATTATGTATTGATCGGTTTGTCTTTATTCCAGGGCCGTCTGATTATTAAATATTTGAATCTGATTATTAACAGAGTGACTAATGTCTTTAACACTTTTAGTTATTTGTGATTAATCGTGATCATGTTTAATCACGAATAACAATTAATTGGGTTAAGTCGACATTCTCAAATTTCAATAATTTGACAAAAAATGACGTAAAAATTACGACGTTTTTTGGTGGAAAACTGATGCACTTTTATTGCAGTTCAGAAGGGGGTGCTTGGGTGACTTTCCTACAGTGTGCGTAAATAACATGTATGTATGATATTGGAGCAATGATAAATGAATGGTTTTTTTTGCACTTGATTTGACTCTCCTGCTTTACGCAAAAAATAAATATATTAAATTTCAAAATAATTTCAAGTACTCTGTAAATGTCTCTGCAGTATTTGACATGAATGTCGTGTAATTTCACCAAATGTTTTTGTGTTGTCTTTGTTTCCACCAGCGTGCATTCCAGGCTTCTACAAGGCCTACGCCGGAAACATCAAGTGTTCCAAATGCCCTCCTCACAGCTTCAGTTACGCTGAAGGATCGTCCATCTGCCACTGTGAGAAAGGCTTCTACAGGGCAAGGAAAGATCCGCCCACCATGGCCTGTACACGTAAGTACTACTTCACAGTACAAACCACGTTTCAGACCATTTGTATTCATGAGAACCACGAGGTTAAGTTCAAAGACGAGTTGGAAAAAAGAACGCTATTTAAGAACTCAACACTGGCGAGGATTTTTTTTTATGTCAGAGAATTCCGTCCTGTAGAATTCTGGAATGTCGTTCGCACCAGGTCAACCTGCGTCTTTCGCCTGGACTACAGTGAAGTGCCTTTCAAATGTGCTTCCAGTTTTCAAAGTACAATCCATCGAAGCTCAAGGTTGAAGAGCCTCGGTGAAGTGAATGTGTTTAAATGGCAACGTTTGTCTCCAATGTTTATTGGAGCAACGATAAGTTGATGGTCGGTGGGATTATAGGATGTCCAGTCAGTCTGACCACGTGTTAAAATATGTGTCCTGACCTTTGGCCTGATGTTTTGGTGTCTCTCGTCCCTAGTCCGTATGTGGTGCGTTGGGAAAGTCTCTGGGTGAATTACTGTACGTGTCTTTCTTTGCCGATGATTCATCAAGACTCGTTCCGACTTCACACTTGCATTAAATCACAGTTTAACCTCACTAATTCTCCTTTAATTAAAAAGTCATTTGGCTGTCATGGAGAAAGAAGTGGGAGGTGAGGATGGGGGGGGGGGGCGACACAGGCTCGGACGAAATGTGATGCTGATTTACATCACAGTGTTTGTAGAATACAGTGTTTTCAAAACCTTGTCAAATCTGACTTCTCATGTATTAAATGTCTGTTGTACTCTGTTCATTCAGAAGCATTAGTGTGTAATACACATTATAATAGTAATGTTGAATATACTGCTGTGATATGTTAGCATTATTTATCAATATTTCTAAGCATTCGCAGATACTGATACTTAAAGAAACAGTAGCTCTGATAGCATATGGCTAATCATTAGCTACGTAGCTCAAGACAAAAGTAATCTTTTTTTCCAACTTTTAGCTTTAGCGCTTTTTTTTACCGGTCATATGTTTAACAAACACCGTTGATAAACAAGGATTTTTAAAATGAACTCAAGTTTTAAAAATAGTTTTTTTTTATGTGACTTTATTATTTGCTGTGATCTTATATTTTATGTATTTAATCAGTAGCTTAAAAAAAATTAAATCAGTTGCTTGATTTTGTTCGCTCGCCTCGTGTTGATGAGAAAGGAAAAAATACCTGTGAATATTAAAAGAGAACTTGAGAAGAAGACGGGGGAAGGGAGGAGGAGGAGGAGGAGAAAGAGGAGAAAGAGGAGAAAGAACCTGCAGAGCAAGTTGAGACAAAGATGGAGAAAAAGTGCGAAGGCTTGATGGAGGAGACAGTGAACGGAAGGAGGCTGGTGATACCAATCTCCCCCCTCGAGAGGGAGAGGAGTTGACGGATGGCAGTGGGGGCAGTGGGTGGATACTCCTCGGTGGAGGGAACAGAGAAGGTGAGATAATGGCTGATGGAGGTACAGAAGGAAAGGAAGTACACTGAGGGGAAACTGAGAGGAAGGAGGAGCACTCTGCTCTCCAAGTCAGAGATGGAGGGGGGGGGGGGGGGGGGGGGGGGAGGCTTCTCATCGTCAATGCTGACATTATGCTTGGCAGAATGGGAGTGTTCAAATCCCTCAGGTCTTTTAACTCCACCCTGCTGACAGCTGGCTGCCTGCTGTAGCACAATGCTCAGCCGACACACAAACACACACTTTCTGACAACACCCAAATACCCAGGTGGAAGACTGATGGTGTTGTGGAGGTGGAATGAACAATCGTTCGCTACAGCCGTGGAGACGCTGAGACGCCGATGGTTTTTCTACCAGTAACCATCAGATATCTGGCCACGATGGCTGAGATCAATGCAGTACAATATAGAACTGCATGTTAAAGTTTGGTAATGTGTCAAATTAAGTGTAATGTCTGGATGTGTTAACAGTTAAATTCAATTTGATCTCAGAGCAGGGGTGTCAAACCTACGGCCCGCGGGCCCTGGGGTGCCAAACCTACGGCCCGCGGGCCAAAATCGACCTTCCAAAGGGTTCAATCCGGCCCGCTTGATGAATTTTGAAAGTAAAAAAACACTTTGTCTGTGATGTTTTTTCAAATTATATTTCATTAAATATGAATATTGAACAATTAACACTGTTTTTCTGTAGCCATGATGACTGAATCGAAATTCTAATACAGTGTTATTTATACGTACTGGACGCTTTAATTTATTAGTGCAAGAAATGCTTTAAAAAACTGATCTTTGAACTGCGGTGTTCCTCAGGGATTAGTCAGAGAGTACTGTACCTTTTCCATAAATATTCCACAACTTGTGAGGTTATTTGCAGCTGTAAATCAAGGGCCCACTGAAAGTATTTATAGAAAGTTTTTATTTATAATTCATATGAATTAAACTGAATTTCCGACACTTGACTTTTCCTTCAGAGGTTCAACCATTTACCGCCTTCTTCATTCCAGGCCCTCCGTCTCCACCTCGTAACCTGATGTTCAACCTGAATGACACCTGCCTGATGCTGGAGTGGTCGCCACCCAGCGACACCGGGGGGCGCCGGGACCTCACTTACAACGTGCAGTGCAAGCGCTGCGGTCCTGAGCCCAACCACTGCCAGCTGTGCGAGGAGGACCTGCGCTTCCTGCCACGGCCACTGGGCCTAACCAACGCCACGGTCACCGTCACAGACTTCACAGCGCACGCCAACTACACCTTCGAGATCGAGTCGCTCAACGGCGTGTCGAACTTAAGCTCCTTCCCTCGCCAGGTGGCTGCCATCACCGTCAGAACTGATCAGGGCGGTGAGTACTGACTGCGCCATTTTTTATTTTACTTGACAGCGAGACTGGAGTGTGTGAGTGTGTGTGAGTGTGTGTGTGTGAAACATCTCCTATTGAGCCTTATTAATATCTACCTATAGTAATGTTATTATTAAGCCCCTCTTATCATGGGCTGAGCTGGAAATGGGAAGAAAACTGAAATGAAATCACAGTCCAATAATGACTGAGCAGAGATATGTCATAATTATCACACACTGTCATCATTAATTAACTGCAGTGGCCCCTAATGGCTTTAGATGGTGTTTCTTCATATCGCCCAGGCTCAGTGTAATCCCATTTAATCATTTCTTTTAACGTTTGATGACGTCTGTTGCCGTCGGTGATTGTGCTGTGGCTGTGGACTGATACTGACTGAGGTCAGACACGACACGTTTAGACGGAAAAACTGGAGTTCTCTTTGGGAGAGTTGTTTTAATCCGATGGAAATGTGGTCGCGGTCATGAGGATATCTGTTTGTCGTAGGTGGGAAATGTGAGTTTTGTTGGTTGTTTAGTTATTTTAAAAATGACATCAATTTCTCATAAACATAGTCTTGAACATTGAATAATGATGATTTTATTTTCGACCATTTTTTTTGTACTTACTTTACAATATAATCTACTGATGTCTACTATATTAGCTCCATAAGCTGGTCTTGACTACATACTGTATGCAAAAAGAGCAGAAGAAATTGCACTCAATCAATACTTCAAACTCAAAATATTACAGGGAAACTCAAACTGTTGTCCGGAAGAGTCCCGAAATAGGAAGAAATGACAAATGAAAATGATAATTTTTAAGAAAAAATTTGTGTTAATGGGCAATCGAAGAACTGTCAGCACCATGTACCTGAAGCCCCACGCCGTAATAATTCATCAACTACTTCATATATAAATATATAAATATATATACACATATGTATATACATACATATGTACGTATATATGTATGTATGTATATATATATATATATATTTTATTCAATAACATAATAAATTCAGGTCCAAGGGATTTTTGCAGTATTTTCCGTTTTTAATTGTGAAGTTACCTTCTCACCTCGTCATGTTTCCAGTCATTATTAGAGGCAGGTCAGCACCGAGAGGTTCCTCCACGTGTACGCTCCATGTCTGTAGAGACTGAACAGAACATATTTCCTCTGGGACGTGGCCTGGAGCTCCATGGGTTTATGTTTCTCCACGTCATTTGCAAACATTGTGTTTTCTGTTTCCTCACTCATCCTGCTCCCCCCCCCCCCCCTCCCCCTGAGCCTTCTCCCCCCCCCCCCCCTTCATTGTCTCGCTTTTTCTGGCTCGTCCTCGTCATTTGTTTCCAACTCTTTTTTCTCTTTCTTTTTTTTTCACTTTTCTCACCTCGTTTTTTTTTTGGTTTTTTTCCTCTTCTTCTCTTCACCCGCGTCTGTTGCTGTGGGAGTCTGGGGAAAAATACATTTACTCATAGAGTCAAAACACATTAAATGCATCATTCCGTGTCACTGGGGACAAGTCATGTCTTTATAGCCAACTTAATGTTACACATTGCTTTTTTTTTTTTATTTCATTAAGACACCCAGTCTATCACATTATCATGGCTGCTCCCTTGGCTGTACACAAGACTCATTTTATCACTAATACAGCGAGCTGTAGCTATTTAAAATGCTCAGGGGAATAAGCAGATGTCTGGAGCTGAGCCAGTGATAAACAGACTGATGATGTGTTTCACTGGAGTTTAGTTTTCCAGGGTTACGGAGGCTAACATTTATGTGCCATTTGATGTAAAAGTTATTGATTACATACTTAGCATGTTGCCTTTAATTATACAGTGTGCCATCAGGACATGTGCTGATTATTCTGTGTTTTTTTTCCAAGCATTTTACACAAATTGCTGTTAAGTAGTTAAGCTTTTTTTTTTTCTTTTTTCTTTTTTCTCACACCCCGACTGAGAGCTGATTTCCAAAGATTTCTTGCCTCATTTTTGTTAAAACATGTAGGACTTTGGTCGGCCTGTAAATGGCACATAACACTTTTCTTTGGTTTTTATAAATTTCTTTCACACTAGAAGAAGTCATATACGTGTAAATTAGATAACTACGTTTAATTAAATAGGTGTAAAAAAGGTATGAATAAATTCACAAAATCAACTCTTCATATAGGTGTTTAAAAACAGTGTGGTTTTAAAAACATTGACATTATACTGTAGAGTCTGAACTGGAGAACGTTCTTCAGCGTCTCCTTCCTGTCGGTATTTCTCAACTTAATCGTCAACAGTTTGAACGTAGCCAGACAAAAAAAAAGCATGTGTGACAAAATAATATTTTTATCGAAAGAAAAAGAAAATGTCGAGCCCAGTTATTATCAACTGGTGGCCTGCGGACTGAATCCAGCCCACCAAACAATCCGCTTCGGCCTGTGGGACTTTTTAAGAAGGTCGTTGTTTTCATGTTACCAACCCACAAACCCTGTGGAAAACAAAGGGAAATAAATCCTCGCCGTCCATTCCATCAACATCAAGCTCAACTCGTCTCTGTGATGAGCCGGTTTGGAAATCATGGCAGAAATTATTAACAGCATTAGCATACTGTAGTGGTCAGCAGAAATGAGGCAGCCGTGAAATCCTGTGTTGTGGGGAAAAAAACGGAGAGTCTCCTGCAGTAATGTCTCATGGCCAGAGATAAATTGGACTTTGTCATTAAAATGCAGATGGCTTTTTTTTTTCTGTGGCTGTTGGCTATCTCAACACACACGTGCACACGTGCACACACACTCATAACAATTCATGAGTGCTTTCATATGAGGTTCAGTACCAGGAGAAAGAGAAGATTCAGAAATCCAGTGTCTGGTCACTTTTTCTAGAACGGTTCTACAGGAGAGAGACATTTGGTCGATCTGTTAATCTGAAGAGTTTTGCTCTTTGTATTTTTTTTTTTTGTTTTTTGTTCCTAATAAGAATCAGTTTCTAAAGAGTTTTGTTCTTTGTATTTTAAATTCTTTTTGTTCCTAATAAGAATCAGTTTCTCCAACGATTCTTATTATGGACATGAAATAATATAACGGAACAGCTTCTTCAACAAAGTGGGGGCAAAAGAGGAGCGAAGGCGGCTGAAGGACAAGTAAACGTTGAATGTGGGAGTAGAAGGTTGAGCAGAATAAGGTAAAGCTGAGAGGTTAATAGAGAGAAAGAGATGTGGTGAGAGAGAGAGAGAAGAAGAAGAAGAAGAGAGTCAGAGCCAGAGAGGACAAGCAATAAAGACAGAGAGGTTATGGATGTGGAGAGCAGGAGCCCAGCAGGACAGAGACAGATGTAGTGACAGTGAAAACGAAGAAGGTGAAAAAAGGAAGATGGAAAATAAGAAGCAGAGCACCAGAAGATGATTGAGTGAGGAGAGCACCACGAAGAGCAAAGAAAGGGTCGGAGGAGAGAAGAACGGAGTGAATCTGCTGACAAGGACTGAGGGCAGAAGATAAAGAGACAGTGAGAGGAGAGTGAGGGTTCGCAGTCACGCAGAAGACATGTGGAAACTCGTGCGTGATTTTGCTGTAGTGTAACGTAACGATGACTTTGGTTTTAGACTCTACCTCATCTGATTTGGTGGTAGCTTTTTTTTTCTGTTAGAGCTTAATTACACTAATTAATAACGTGTCACATTTTCACAGAAACCCTAATTCATCATTAGCACAAGCTGTTATTAGCATTAGCATTATATCATAGACTTGAAGCGATGTCACAGTGGTGTCAGGTGACCAAGATGACATTATTTTACCTAGCGTTATGTTCAGCACTTGGCGACCACATGCTAACAGAGCTAACCTCAGCCATATGTTTGCTAGTGGCAGTTTTATGGAACTGAGCAGCATTCACTGGTATTTGCTCCCGTATCTAACTGAAACTAGCTTCTTCATCTAGTGTTAGCTCAGTCGTGATGACATCATCGATGGTGCTGTAATGCACCATCCATGTAAGTAGACTCTAGTGTTTGCCTGATGTATGCCAGTGTTTTTAAATTTGGTGCTCTAACGTTTGGTTATGCCTTATGATTAATTGGTGGTGTCATCAGCATAGAAACACATACAACCAGTATAGACGTATAATATGAAGTTTCTAAACCGTAGTAAATGCAGTTTTTTTATTGCTATACAGGTGAAGTTGTGTCTTTTTCAGAAAGTATGAGTTGCCTCTGACCTCTGACTGATAAATGATATTTGCCCTTTGACCTTTTAAAAAAGGACCTGTTCTTTTACATCAGAGGTTTTTCTTCACCATCTGTTGCAGATGATAATTTTAGCTTCTACTTTCCTACATTTTTCCCCTATAATTTGACATTTTGTAAGTGGAGAGTTCGTTTGCCGTCTCTGTGTGTTTTATGTCTACATTAGTGTGTTAAAATATTTTGTATGCATATATGCAAAAAATTAAAAAAAAAAAAAAACATTTTAAAGGGGGAAGTTAGTTAGTAGCTGTGTTTCCTTCTGCAAATCTGGGAACCA